GCAGCAGCATTTTGCAGTCGAGAAATAGGAGGACTGACTCACCCCAGAATAAAGTGCATTGCAGTTATCAAGCCGAGTGCTTACAAAGGCATGGATTACTGTTTCAAAGTGCTGTCGTGCAAGAAAGTGCTTAATTTTGGCCAGCTGCCTCAGGTGAAAGAAGCTAGATCTAACCACTGACCGAATCTGGCTTTCAAGCTTTAATTCAGGATCCATTTTAAAACCCAAATTTACAATCTCCGGTTTGCAGAATCATTTCAGAGTTTTTAAATCGACAGATTGCCAGCAGAACCAGGTCCAAACACCATCACCTAAGTCTTCAAATCATTAAAACAAAGAAAAATTAACGCCATCCAAGATTTGATAACCTCCAAACATGTTAGCAGAGAGTTCACAGACAGCCCATCCTTCCTTTTAAGGGGAACATACTGTAGATCTGGCAGTCATCTGCGTAACAGTGAAAGGAGACACCATGTCTCCTGAGAATTGAGCACAGGGGAAGCAGATAAAGAGAAAACAAAATTGGGCCCAAGATGGAACGTTGCGGGACTCCATGAGACAGTGGAGCGCAGGAGAACTCACAATTACCTAAACGAACCAAAAACGTTTGATCTTTTAAGTAAGACCTAAACCATTTCAAAGCCACACCTATTATGCCAACACAATGTTCCAAACGCGAGATTAAAATCTCATGGTCGACAGTATCAAATGCAGCACTTAAATCGAGTATGTGAGTATTAAATCGAGACACCTGCATATGTGTCTGTGTGTTCATGGAGTGCAAGGTGGGGTAGGGGAAGAGTGAATTTACCCACGGGGACTGACTAATTTGATCATTTTCCACCAGTAGAGGTCAACCTCTCCACATACGCGGAGAATTTGGTTTAAGCACCTCCACTGACATTGAGCGGCTGTGCCAGCAGATGGCGCCACCGCTGCATGATCATAGGCAGCCTTAACGTGAACAGGTGCTGGGAAACGTTCCGTTCACGGAAGGTGTGTGTGTGTGGGGGGGGGGGGGGGAAGCAGCCTGCTCTAACTCTGGCCCTGGAACCTGAGGGCTCAGAGCACTAAGCACTACATCACCTACTGGCCCATATGTGAACTGGGTACGCAGTACACAAGGTCAGCTGTCTGGCCATGAGCAGGAGTGGGAAGGCAAGGTGTAAACTAGAGGTCAGAGGGCTCAATGGGGGGGGGGGCGTAAGGGGAGAGTTTTGTGAAAACCGAAACGGCTCATCATGTGAAGTCAGTCCTAACGATCAGAGGCAGATCTGCACATACCGTCCGAAACAGCGAGTTCCCACTAACAATAAATAGCTGACCCCCCCCCCCCAGGCTAAAACGCTGTGTTTCACTGGGGGCTGCATCGCTTTAGCCAATGGGGCCGCTCGACCGTGACTGTGTAACTACAGCTGTGGCTGAGGGCAGGGTGACCTGTTAGTGCGTGTGGATAGGACGCTGTGTGTGTGCGTGACACACTGTGCCCCGTGTTTACAAGCAGGAGGGCACCAGCAGGCAGGGGGGCAGGGAAGGCGACGTGGTACTTTACAAGACTCTCACCCTGAGGCCGTCGTAAGTGATTTAATACGTAACGAGCTTCGGGTCACGCCTTCCTCTGAGACCACCTTCCTCGGGGACTGATGGGGCTGTTCGTGGTCGCCATGGCGAACTGGGTAAAGTCTCCAGCTGCAGATGGGCTAAGCACATGCCTGACTGCCAGGTAACATCCATGTTAAGGCCAAAGCACCTTCTCTGCTAGTATCTTGTGTCGGTTGCTGCTGTACACGCTAAGTCCGGCCCCCACCTATGTCGCTACTGCTCAAGATCTGGGGGGCGGGAGGGGTTACCCTAAACTCGACTAGCTCGGCAGACTTCTGGCAAATTCCTCCACCGACTGTCTGCACCAAACACAAACTCTGTTGACCTGACAGATGGTTTACATGGCTCATATACTCCCCCACCCCAACTTGCACCCCCACAATTCCTCGAAATCCACCTTTAATCACTTTTCTTGACACATACCTGTGCGACAAAAGGTACCGACGAAGAAAAAGACAAACCCGGAACATTCCATGACCGAAAGGCAGCTAAAGGCCTGCGGCTGCAGCCTGTCATTCCGATCGGCTGGCGATGGCTGTCAATCAGTGGCCGGCTGATCGTCACACGCTGCTGTCAAGTGAGCTTCTCCTTACCCTGCAGGTCGTCAGTCAATGCCTGCAACTGATGGCAGAAAAACAAATATCACTCACAGACACACTGTACTGTCACCACACAATGAATGAGTCATTAGTAATGACCTGGAGGAGAGATTCTGCAGCACACAGAGTTCTCTCTGAATCACCAAAGCTCTCTTTGAAGTGTGGGAAAAAATTTTATCTGTTGCATTTTTGTGAGACTTGAATTCCTTCATGCTTCTGAGGGTAACACTGTACAGTCTACCAAAACATAAGGTGCTTTATCTCGAGCAATAAAGGAAAAAGCGTGAAAGCTCTCGGCAAATTAACTTCGGCACCCTGTCTTCGATCTGCGCTCAGCGAGCGGGGATTAAAGCAGCCGTGACCTCATGGCTCTCTTGAGGTCACACAGCCTGTCCCCCAGCTCACCGACATCGTCACCCAGGTCACATGCACCTGATCCTTAAAAACAACACAGACCTCATAACCAGCAGCTGTCTTCGCCTCTACATGCGCATGGTCATCCAAGGTTGGCCTCCTGTTGGGAACAAACAGTTACTACAGTGGGGGGGGGGGGGGGTGCTCCTTTTCTTATCTGCAGTCACTCTCCTTAGCGGAAGTGCTTGGATAAGAAAAGGCAAAAGTCTAAATGGAGAATAGGCAGAGAGTATAAAATCAATTTCAGTCCCCTGTTTGACTTCCGGCGGAGGTTCCCATGAGTCTCACACCATTCCGGAAAGGAGGAGCCGCCTCCCCGCTGAAGCCAACCATTACCGGCCCGAGCCCACGCGGCTCCCTAGGCCAGCTGCACTGCTGGCGCCCCCTTGTGACGCAAAGTGAAACTGGCTTGTTAATTCGGCATCCTCCAGAAGATGGTACCAGCTGTCCTGTCAGCATGATGTCAGCGGGTTTCCCTCTGAGGACGCACAGGTCAGCAGAGATGACTGCAGCCATGGGCGTGGCCTCACTGTGGCGTTACCGTGGTGTCGCCGTGGCGAGGGCATCACAGCTGCCTTATCCTTCTTCCTCGCGTACAGTTCGGAAAGGCGGGGTGGCTTTCTGACGTCGTTTTGCTGATTTCCGCCAGTCAGCAGAACATCTGCACAGTCCCCGTTTGCCAATCAGCAAGTTACGTGTGAATGGTGTGTTTGCCGGTGTCTGGGATTGTTGGGATATCAGTTTTTCTCATAGAGATGAATGGAGAGTCCCCACAAAGATATGAATGCATACATGTGTGAGTGAGTGTGAGTGTGTGTGTCTGTCTGTCTGGTATGTGTATCTCTGTGTGTGTGTGTGTGTGTGTGTGTGTGTGTGCCCTGTGACGGCTTGGGGCCCCAGCCGGTGTTAATCCCCCTCCCAAGCCTGTTGTTTCTGGGATGGGCTCCCTGCACAGGAAGACGGAGGGAGATCAACTTGGCGAGGAATGGAGAGGCTGGAAGTCCTAAGGGAGATAGTGGCGAGAGACGGGGGCGCCTGGGGAAGCCGACCCAGGATAAGGCAGCTTAAAACGCAGAGCAGCGTTAGCAGAAGGGCCCCAGGGTCCCATGCTGACAGCATCCCTCCCCAGGCACTGAGAGAAGCACTGGGGGCATCAGAGACGGCGAGAGCAGACGGAGCTGCCAGAAGGCCACCCCCCTCCCAGATCCTGTCAGGGGACATACCAGCTAGCTGACTGGCTGCGCCATCTCTGTCTCTGCCAGCCGCCGACGTTTCCCGTGGGAGGGCCAGACAGAAGCAGGAGCGCATGGAGTCTCTGTACGGTGAGACTCAGGGGCTCGTCCTCCTCCCGCCGCCGCCTGCCCACTTAGCGCGCCTAGCAGTGAGTGGCGGAGCAGCACTGCATGGCGTCAGCTTGTTCAGTCAGGAACACTCTGCTCTTCCAGCCCTCAACCTCCCCCCCCCCCCCAGGGTGCGGCGCAGGGCTGAGCTGGAGGTCCTGGCCGACATTCGCCTCAGCTTCCTCAGAAACGTACTGTGAGCTCTGTCGCCGCGGCGGGTCTCAGTTTGGCGGGGAGGGGGCATGCGGTGCCGCTCGCCCCTGTGTACTGCTCAGACACCCAAGCCCGCCCTGGCCAGCGGCCGCTCCTCTTCATCACCTTATCTTGACACTTTTTCTAGAAGCTGTTAAAAAAATACCTTTTTTTTAATCCTGTTGATCATACATCTGCTGCCTGCCTGCCCCCCCCCCCACCATGTAGGGAACTCTTTTACCTGTCATGTTCATCTGCTGGGTCCCATGGGGTGTCCCATAATGGGGGGCGGAGTGGAGAAGGTCACAGGCTACGTCAGCTTTCTTTGAGACACAGAACACCTATAATTTCCAAGAAAACTGAGGCAATTAGCCATTGGCTATTAAATATCACTCATACAATTATGATCATCCCACCCTGGGCTGTTCCCTGCCTTGCGCCTGCAGCCTCCTGAATAGGGTAAGCAGGTGCAGAAAATGCATAGATGAATATATGATTATATAAATATCTCATCCATTACTATCTCTCTCTCTGTACTCATATTTTTGAGGGGATCGTATATTCATCTCTATGGGAAAACATCTAATCCCCACAATGACGACCTTAACCACAAGTAACCAAACAAAATACAAGACTTTTGGCATTTTTTGTTTTTTGATTGCAGTCACAGATTTTTATAAAATTCAATTTCCCCTTGTAGGGACCCCACAACATCAAAATAACAGATTCTTATCACATTGTGGGGACTAAACGTCTACCTGGACCAACCACACACACACACACACACACACACACACACACACACTCACACCACACAGACATAGACAGACACACACACACACACACACACACAGACAGACAGACACACACACAACATTTTCTCCAGTGGATCCTTGCTCAGCAGCTCATCATAACCATCACTGGCTGGGCTATTTGTCGTCTCTGGACAACACAAATTTACATAGATATTGAGATTACATCTGCGACAAAAGAGAAAACATTTATTTTTTCTTATCCCTATATAGTGTGAGTGTACTTGTATCAGTGTACTTGTATCAGTGTACTTGTAGTGCTTTGTGTGCTTTGCCGATACTGTTCTTATGGTCATGTCAAGCCTATTGAATGATTTACCTTGAGATGGCTAGTTAGGTTATAACCGGAGCCTTTCATCTGGGTACGCGCAACATGCGCTACACAGTGTGCAGAAAAGTTGCTTGATTACTCCCCCGTTCCTCGGGTGTTGCAAGTCAAGTTCCGCTGTGTTACACAGTCACACTGTGTTGATTTGCTATGACGCCTCCCTTTTCCATCCACAAACAGACCCTTCTCCCTTATTCAGTGTGAGATTACTCAGGGCTAGGCTTAAAGATTCAGTAGAACTTTGAAAGTCGAATGCCTCTTAACTCAACTAGCTCAGACATGGAATGGGGGTGTCGATTATTTTTCGACTTGTACCTCGATCGAAATCTTGGAACTAGACCGTTCCTGCTAAAACTTGTACGGATCGAGACGCATTCAACTCTATCAATTTGGACCTCCGACGAAAAAAATCTAGCTGCAACGCAACCGAAAACTCGGGCACGACCAAACAAAACAGACCTGCTAAAACTTGCACGGATCACATTATTTCTTATGGGGAAATTTGACTTGGACCTCGACCAAATCACAACTCAACTAGTCTTATGGAACGAATTTCCTTATGGAAGGAAGTTCGTGTTCCAAGGTACCACTGCATTCTGACCTAATGAGGAGATCCAGGGATCCCTGAAAATGTGACATCCTCAGAGCAGAGCATGAACCTGACATGACCTGCTGGTATCGGGGGCGTACCAGGGGCGGGGCGGGGGGTGGCAGGTGGCTGAGCTCTGGGGGGGGGACAGTCGGTGTGGGCACAGCACCAGCCGCTCCATTTAAGTTCGAGAGGCCAAACCGGCTCCCAATTCTCAGAATTCATTCCTTCCGACTCCCCTTCTCCCCGCCCTCAGTGTTTGGCTGGAATGCCAAACAGGCTAGGCCACACCCCCACACCACCGTCCACTGAACTGCAGAGCTCTCACCTTCTATTTTTAAAGATATTGTAGACCCACCCCCACCTTTGAAGTATTGTTAGCACCCCAGGTATCCTCAACACCCCCACCCACCATTCTCCACCCCCATGAGGTCACGGCTGCTTTAATCCCCAGCCTCCAATAGTGGGCGTCATACAATTACACGCTTTCACCCAATTACACAGCAAGAGTAGCCAGATATCCGTGTGGAACCTTCCGGCTCAGGTTCCTCTCACTGAGAGAAGCTCCTCCCTAAGGTTTCTATAGAATGATACCTGACACTTCAGGAGCAGTGGGAACAGTGGGAGTAAGGATTGGGTGGGCAGGGGGTTAGGATCACGCAACATAATCCCCAAACAAAAAGTTTACACGCAATGAATAAAAAACAAAAACCCTTTATTTAAAATGTAAATAAAAGATACACACCCTGTACATACATTTGTTATACAAAGATATGTGAATAATTTAACGCGCTGGAGTAATTTTTACAGTGAATCCAACTCAGAGCAATGAAAGTCATTAAACCACCTGGGCTCCACTGAGAGACTTACAGGTCTCAAATGCCCCCCCCCCCCAAAAAAAAAAAAGAATGAGGTGGGGGGGGAGCTCGAATGACAACCCGTGGAGAAGAAAAATATTGCCCAAGTACCAAAAGACAGTTTTGACTTCATCGACAATATTGTCTTTATGGATGACGTTAAGGACACTGTGGTCTGAGGTTGCACATCTACCTTTCATGAAGATATCCAAACAGGCTCATGCTGTCCTGCAGCTGGCTTGCAGTTCCTGGGCCCCACTGGGCGTGTTTAAGTGGAGGTAAACACTGCCGTAAACACCACTGGGGCAGCACAGGTGGTTCAATAGCGAGGATCCAGCTAAAGAATCCAGACTGGGGGGTGTTTTGAGGAACGGAAGCCATGCTTCTGCAGGAGGGGTGGACTCACTAGCCTCCAACAGGCAAGGGGAGAGAGAGGAAGACAGAGAGAGCACAGGATGTTCCAATGTGGCCCTATGTCACTGCTCAACTGCAGAAAGAAACGCTAAAACCACAGTGCAAATGTAGGTGAGAGAGAGAGAGAGAGAGAGAGAGCGCACAGGATGTTCCACAATGTGACTCTATTGCACTGCTCAACTGCACAAACAAATGCTAAAAACACAGTGCTAACGTAAGTGATAGAAAGGGAGAGAGAGAGAGAGAGAGAGAGAGAGAGAGAGAGAGACCTGTTTGTTTGACTGACAAGATGGAGAAACACTGGCTACATGCACAGTGGGAATGGACCTGAAGAGTACGATGCAATAGATCAGGGTCTAACAGAATATCAGGGAGATGCATTATGGGATAATCTCAGCTCGCCTAGCCTCAAGGAAGCCCAACAGAGCGTGAAATGTTTCCTTGACCAGGTTAAAGTGTTTTGTTTACTAATCATCTTGAGGAAACGGGAGAGAAAGGGGAGTGAAGGCCAAGGAGGAAAAACATGGTGCAGGACAGACCGGGGGTCTAAATCGAGCCAGGAAGCCCAGGCAGGAAGACGTGCAAGAGCCACAGCGTTCGACACGGTGACGCAGGCGGGGGGTGTGAGAAAAAGCTCAGTCGGGTCCCTGGGGAGCGCCGGGAAGGATACGGTCACCCACGACTCCGTTCCTGCAAACAGCCGCGTCCCAAAATACCTCCCAGCCCAGAGCAGTGGCTTACAGTTCTGCGTGGCTCTGTTTTGAAGACACATGCACAGGTTCTCCTCTAGATCCTCAGGAATCAGCGCCAAACACTTCAACCTACACACGGTGCTGGTGTTAAATGGCCAGTTAACTAATTGGTTACCTCCACTGCACCGTCAACAGTACAAATGATGCTGAAACTAGTTCACTAACAAATGAAGAGTGTGCTGAGAGGGCGAGAGGAGGGAACGAGAGCAGGAAGCAGATAAGCAGGGCAGATGGCTACCACACCCCACCAGCGAGGCCCGAGTCCCGGCCGCTTCTTGGAGATGTGCTGGGATCGGCTAGGCTTAGGTGCTGCCTGAGGTGGGCTTGTGCGTGATTAAATAGACACTCCTTCACTGAAATACATCTCAGTAATACTTATCGTTAAATAGCACCAATATGGTGAAAGCAATTTGCAGAACCAGAAGAGCTTCACATCCATCAGCCCCCCCTGGAGACCACAGGAGGCAGTGCGGATGTGACGGCTCTTTGGTGCCAGCACAGGCACGAGGCCTGACACTAGGAGTAAATACTCAGGCCTCTGCATTCTCAGTAAAACCTGGATCTCCATCGCTCATGGGAGTTTTACTTTTCACAAAAATGTTCTGAGGGCAGAACGAAATGATTGATTCAGAGAGATAACCAATCACATTGTTAGAGTAGGTTGGTCCAAGCAACTAGAGGATGTGGAAGCAACCAATCAGATGTCTTGGTCCCACCTGCTCTAGTTGCTTGGGCCCACCACCACTACAACGTGATTGGTTCTCTCTCTGAACCAATCTTTTTTCCTGTTCTGCCCTTAGAACATTTTTTTTGTAAGTAAAACCCCGCAAGCATTTCTATCACAGAATAGCAGTGCGCTCTCAATTTGAACATCGGATTTAAATCATTCATCAAACTGAACTATGAACAAACTTCCAAAATCTAAATTAACAGGGCATTAAATGACATAGATAAAATATTTGCAGCAAATTCAGCAATTTCCCCAAATGTGTCTACTTCACAGCCCTGGTTACTTATAATTAAGACATCATACCCCAATCACCCATAAAACATCTAACGGGTCCAAGAATAAATATGAAACCTTCATTTGACATCAACAGCCCGTCCAGCTGGGATCCCACAGAAAAAGTCCATTCCTAAATGCAGGACTAATACTAATACAGCTTATTCTGATTCGGAGTCCCATTACCGCCACCCAGATGAAAACCAAAGCGCCAGGACTCCGGTCAGGTAACAGGAAAGGCTGGACAGAACAATCAACGGTGTGCATCAGTGTCCTCTTCATGTGACACCCTTCACCTAATCTGGCAACGTGCAAATTCCTACAACATTCAAAGACCGAAAAAACAAAAGACTGAAGTGGAGAGATCACAGTCGTTGTGTATGGCTCAGGCTCCGGAGGCTGAGGGGCTCAGTCAGTGTTGTGCTCCTTAGAGTATTCCTCCACCAGCCGCTCATAGGAGTGGCAGCGGTCCAGCCCATCCGAGGTACATAAAGAGCCATCAGACTCGCAGCTTGGCTCCTCTTTGGAGTCCGTTTCGGATTCCCCGTTCTCATCGGAGGTGGAGAGCTGGGCCTTGGTGTCCGCAGTGAGTAGGTTCTCCTCATCGATGAAGGTGATGTTGGCGTCCTGGTTGATGAAGGCCTGGTACTCCTCCCCGCTGGCCTCTAATCCAGGTTCTTTGTCCAGCTGGTTCTCATAAATAGCTCCCCCTGCCTCCAGGTCCGGTCTGGGCATCAGCCCCCCGAGCAACACGTTACCCTCCCCACCCATCAGGTAGTTCTTGGACTTGGAGAAGGCCACAGTCACACGGTCACCGAGGCTGTACCGGCGCTTGCGCCGCGGTGAGCCGTCCAGGGTCAGTATGGGGTTGTAGGCACCGCTGTCGTTGCAGCTCTGGGAGCGGTTCAGCTCATTGAACGGCTGGCTGCTCCCGTCCTTCTTGCTGCCGATCTGCTTGATGAGATCGTTGTAACCCTCCCTCTTTTCCGGAAGCGGGAGGAAGCTGATACGGCTGGTCTCCCCTCCCCCTGCCAACGAGGTCAAGCGAGCCTTGTGGGCCTTATAATGCTGGAGCTGATCCAGAGAGAGCTTGCGTCTCTTCCTCCGCTTCTTCAGAGCTTTGTGGGCCTCCACCACCATGCGGACCTTCCAGTTGAAGAAGAGGGACAACCAGGCCAAGCCAAGGTAGATCCACACCTCCACAAAGTAGCGATAGAGCACTGGGTAATCCGCGTTGGGATCTACACCTGCCATCACAGAGGGAGAGGTCTGTTACACACTCACTCACTCATAAAAATAATAATAATAATAATAATAATAATAATAATAATAATAATAATAATTAAACTTATCACAGGCACTATAACTATAAAGATAAGGAACACCTATAGGCTACAAATATTTATTATTTTTGAACATCATCATTCTCGAAATCTCATGCAATGTAGGAAACATCTTTTATGTGATTTTGCAACCAAAAGCTTGACATGATGACAAATCACGGAAATCCCCGAAAACAGTTTCACTTTTGAATTCACTCATTCACGCGCCCTGAGGTGTGTTTTTGTTGAAACACTCCTGGACATACCTCTGCTCAATATCTGGTCATTGTTTTACACGCATTCCTGCTAGAGCACTTTCCACAGCAGTGTGAGCAGGGAAGCCCACCTTACACCTCATTCTTTGGCAGCTACTCCCTACTTCCATGTCATTTCTTACACATTTTCACTGCCACCCACCCACAAGTTCTCCAACAGAGAGTGAAGGTTCAGTGGAGCCTCTCACCATGTTAGCAGATGAGGAACCCTCATCTGCTACCCTATACGGTGGCTTGGGAGCAGCTGTTAAGTGTGGTTGAAAAAAATAAAAACTTCAAACCATAAGGTTTTACAAAACATACATTTTTCAAAGGCAGTGAACTGTAAAGTATGCAAAAATAGGAAACCTGCTTTCAAGCAGGGGAAGAGATAATGGTCTCCTGGAATTCTCTAGAAAATTCAACAGCGTTCTACTCCCGCGCTGGTCGCCGGAGAACGGATCAAAGATCAGAAGAGCTACTTACCCGCGACCAGGTCTCCGAAGCCGATTGTTGTCAAGGTGATGAAGGAGAAATAGAGGCCATCGATATAGGACCATCCCTCTTCAACCATGAACACAAACGGGGGGATCAGCAGATGCACCAGAATCCCCCACAGGAGGAAGAGGGCCGTGCATGTGAACTGGGCCTTACGCTGAAAGCAGACATCGAGAGACTGCTCACACCTCTCCTCGCCAAATATTTAGCAATTCTCCATTTCCAGTTGACCCAAAAGCCCCGGTCTGCTATGGATTCAGCGCAAAGAAAAACCCGCTGTCAGGCTAAATGCCTGTTCACCTCCTGCCTGCTGAAGGCTTACCAAAGTTAGGCCTCTCTTGGTCAGGTACTGGCCCAGGTGCTTGGCTCGGCCCCCGAAGAACTTGCCCAGTTCGCTGATCCAGGTCAGGCAGAGCGGGACGCCGAAGAGCCCATAGAAGATGCAGAAGACACGTCCACCTGAGGTCTTTGGGGAGATGTTCCCATAGCCTGTGGATGGCAGAAGATGGAGGCCGGTCCAAATGAATGACTCATTAATCACTGTTTAACAAAAGAAGGCCACTTGGGCAAGCTGATCAAGACGAGATCCTCATAACTCAGGATCATACTCCGATCTCCCCGACCGAGGGCTGAGCAGTATTTAGTAGAGATGAGCGAGCCACATTTTTTCAGTTCCGATCCGATTCCGATACACAACTGCCGATACAGATTCCGATACAATAGCTCTTTTTACTTTGTTATACTTTATATATTATTTTTTTTAAGCTAGTAAATACAGATGGAAAAAATGTATGACAAAAAATATTTAATTAGGCTACTACAAACATACATAACGTACTGTTCCACCTCATTTGTTTTAAGCGTTTTTGAGGCATTTGCAGTTCAATATGAACATGTTCAAAGGAAGTATACACAAGTGGCGAATGCTTAAAATTTTAACAGTTTTTCTCCCATTGGCATCAGCTCAGTTACACTTTTGTTGCGATGGCAGCCCCTCTTGTATCACAAGCTGCAACGAGTTCGCAAAACAGTCCAATTAAGTTAGCGTCTCGCAGTTGCGTGCCCTTTGTTAAATGGGATTGTCCATTAAACGCTATTCCCACCGCAAAACTTTATTTTACATAGATTGCAAATCACTGTGCTACTGGTTTCTGTTAAAAGCGTATAATACCGATCTGAATATCGGTATCGGTGCATCTCTAGTATTTAGTCTCAGCTCAAACAACAGGTGTTTCATTGAAACAACCTCTATCACTACAGCAAGTATATGAGGCACAGTTTGTCTAACTAGCGGGTACCTGCCCTGCCAAACAGAAATTCAATCTTTTAGTAAGATCTTTAGCTATCATGCCATCCATGGGTCACTGGGTACACAAGCACGGCCAGGCCCGATAACGTAACACTTATATTGTGGCGGGATTCTGCAACAACACTCCAGCGCACACAGGATGTCTATGAACCATCTAACCCTGAAACCATCTAATGTGGGAAAAAACAGCAGCAGCATAAACAGGACGACTGTTGTTCTGTGTGGTTTATTCTACCAGGTTCTATCTTATCTCATTATCTTATATCATATTCCCAGAGCAGACAGAGACCCGCTAACAGATCATTAATCCAGCTGTGAGGTTGGCATTCCACTCCAACGAGAAGAAAATAAACACACTACAAACCTGAAAAATGCAAAACTCAAACGAAACTCATATAAAACCTCTTGTAAACAAACTCAGAAATGCAAAATCTGAACATTTGGCCCCCGGTCAGGCTGCCCGCACATCCATTACACCCCCCCCCCCAGGCCAGCCAGACACCCACCTATGGTCGTGATGACAGTGGCTGCAAAGATGACGGCGTTGGGCCAGTTCCAGTTGTTGAAGGTCCTATTGCCTGTGATGGTGACGCCCTGTCCGGCTGCTGTGGAGATGATCTGCAGAGGAGGAACAGAAAAAAAAAGGAGGACAGATGTTAGGGCTGCATGAGGGAGGGGCCAGAGTGTAGGTGGGCAGACGGAGGCACTGAGGGTATGACACCCCCCCCCCCAATCCCACAAGAAGCCAATTCAGGATGACAAAGCAGGGGAGGTCTGGCCTTTCATCAGAGCAGTCAGGGATACAGCAGGGGAAAAAAAAAAGTAGATTCATGGAAGGCGGAGCCACCCGTCAGGCCATAAGCTGTATAGTTTACTGTTCCTGGAAAAGACAATCCGCTTAAGGGAAGAGTCAGACGCCCTTGCAGGTACACTGACGTCCATTAAAATCACAGCGCTGGCAATAAAACGAAATACCAAGTTTGACCTCAACCAGGACCCAATGTAATCATTACCCTGAGGTGACAGGCATGACGGTGACGTGACAACAGATTTGTCAGACTCCCACTTTATGTACAGACCTGAAAAGCAAATCTGCAGAAGTGCCGTCTCCCTGCGGCAGCTGGGAGCTACGAACGGCTGGGCTTTCATGTAGCCTCAGCCCTGCTGTGGACCAGCACAAGCATCCATGGAGACAGGCAAGACTGTGGATAACCCGTTCAGCCAACATCCGGCAGGACACCACCCTCTGAGCACCCCAGGAAAGGCCCCGGACATCCAGGAAGTTCACCCAGGCTGACTGGCTGGTTTGCATGGTCTCATCCACCGAGGGTCCTTCCTTGAGTCACAGAAGAGTCCTATCAAGCTCCAAGCTGTTCCCTGCGTAGAGACCACCCGAGCGCCACAATAGAGGCGATGAACGATCTTTCCATGAAGAAGGGGTAAACCTTTACAGACGCTAATACATGCTAAACATCTAAAGTACGGCATGCACGACAGAGCCACAGGGTCATGTGACATAATGGACACAATTTAAGCCCAGATGAGAGAAGGTGGCTTCTGAGGTATGCTACCGATCGGGTGTGATTTTAACACTGAAAAGCTCCACCAATTTAAGGAATTACAGACAAGAGAAATAGCCTAGATGTAGCAGCATAGAATTAGCGTAGCGCCTCTTCCCCCAGGCCCTGCTCTCGCCAGAGCCACACGTGGAACCTCCAAGAAGAGGAGCAGATTCTCAGCTTCATAGCGACAGAATTTAACAAAACAAAGACTTCCTCTATCTCCCTTTCAGAAGTGCAAAAAAAAATTTTCTGGGTGTGTTAGTAGGCATAAGATGGATTAGTTGCTAAGAAGAGCACAATGACAAAACGAATTCAAATTGCAGAGTATTATGAGTTGTCACAACAAAAACGAACACGTCCGGTTATTTCCCCCCCTCAAAAGAAAAAAATGCTGCAGATTCACATTAGCCAAGCCCAACAGATACCATGAATGAACAAATGTGTTTGTCCTGTGATCAATAAGGCCAAGGAGAAGTATTGATTTTTGCAGCCATGAAGCCTTCTCGCCCTAGAGAGCACACAGTGATCCAGATAAGGTGGCGGACAGCCTCCCGGGGGGGTTACATATGGACTTCACCGGGGACCCATGGAAAGTTTTGGGTTCAAGTTTAGGTCGGCTGACAGTGTGTCTCCAGGCCTCTTTGGCAGTGAAGGCCAAGATGGCCCAGACCTGCTCCTGGACAGCTGGTGACCTTCAAGGCAGAGATGAACTGAGGAACCACTGACAGCAGTACTTACTGTCCATCCTACGCACACTGACTGACAGAATAAGAACAGTGAGAGTCAGCCCCACCTACAGCCAGACCAAATTTTACAGTCCATCTTAACTTAGCAACAGCTGCAGGTGCGTGGTGTGGAGTTGCGAGTGTGTGTGTGAGTGGAAGGGGGGTTGGGGAGGCGGCTGGCTAATAGCAGAGTCTGCTGCAAGTCCCCTCCAGCGAAAGCGAGGCGACGTCACTGCTACATCTCCAAATATCTGCGAAACGGCAATGAAACACTGCGCCATCCAGGCCACGGAATGACCGAGAGAGACTCCATCTCCACGACCCTGAATCCAGAAGAGGCATCTCAACAAATTCACAATTGTTTTTAAAAGTCGTCAAGTGAAAAATGCTCTGCTCCTTGTTCCATTCCCGTCAGCGGGAAGCCCTCAACCGGACTGTCGTGGTGCACAAGCTTATCTTTCTTGTCAGAATCATAAATTACGACAGACGAGCAAATATGCGGTCATTGCAGAGTTTGGACTCTGCTTCAAGGACAGACCCCTTAAAATACACAGGACCAAAGTAAAGCAAAGATCATTAGACTAGACTACAACCCAAAAACCAAAAAACTCAGAAACCCATGAAGAGAGGCTTCTAGTTATAACAAAACTGTGGAGGCATAAAATGCACTGAACAAATTTAAGAAAAAGAGAAAAAAAGGAGCACTGAAAAATGACTCCAAGCTCTAGCACGGAGGTGACACTGCAGATCCTAGATCAAGAAACGAGGTCATCGTCTGAGATGAAATCTGCTGTTTGTGCCATTCAGCCTCGAGGCAGAAACTGCAAGCACAGAATAGCGCAAACCCCAAACAGCCACCGCATGGGACCCTGACGGCAGCTGCGGAAGGGAATGACAGCCACAACGAATCTGAGCCCTGCAGAGCAAGCCGGGAACCCAGCCAACTTCAGTCAGCCACAGGCGGCACAAACCGGCAAGTCATTAATGCATGGAAATGTGCAACAAAGGCGAGATCCGAGCGGCAGGGGTCTGAGGCCACGTTAATAGCAGAATCCGCCCCCCCCCCGACATTCTGAGTCTGGATGGTGTCAGGAGGCTTTCTCCCCCAGTAAACTCAAGGGCGACGTCTCCATCACTCAAACTGTCAGTGGCCCTGTGAATGAAGACCTCCTTCAGATCAAGTTCAAGAACTCCACACAACTGACATGAGAAAGGGTCAAAAGCTGAAGCAAAAACACAGACAAGAGGCTGAAGGATTCTGGGTAAATCAGGCGTTCCTCCTCTAGCAGTTCACAGGGCCGGAGCCTTCCCCTCCAGCATTACTGTGGTTCTGCCCTAGACGATCATCAGAAAGACCATGCCATAAGTCCGCATGTGGGGGAGGGGCTCGGTCTGTCGCAAGATGATAACCCAAGGATGTGGAAACCGCAACAACAGACCCCGCAATGACAACGCGACTGCAAGCAGACCGAAACCATGCCCCTAACGTGCTGCACACCGCAGCTAAGCACCATGGCTCCGTCACTTCTAAGACCAACGATGTCTCACTTCCCGTATGGCCACCTCAGCCAGAAGCAACTGCTTCTGCTAGCAAATGGACTGCATGTCCAACAGGAGAGCTAGAGGATTCAAGGCCAACGTGTTCGTTCTAGATGTTAAAATACATTAAAATTGCAAAACTGCAAGTTAGAAGCAGGTAATAAGACGCTGGCCATTTACATACAAAAACATTCCTAAATGTCTTACCACAATGTGTTTTTTTCTTATAATAACTTTGCAGAACAACAAGAATTACAAAAATAATGTTTTGGTCTAGGCCCGTGCCTTCTTCAGCCTACAAGCGCTACAGTGAAGTTAAATATACCTCAGTAACAGCTTCACTCCTACATTCAAACCCATTAACATCTACTTGAGGAATTCAAGGTGCTTGGTGACCTTCCCAAGCTCCTTCTTGGATCCAGGTTAACTGGCTTTACCACCATATTAAACAACATATCATTTGGCAGGTGAGGGGCTGAAATGGGTCAATCTGTACGGGAATATGTAGTATCTCTGGCATCAGACAACATTGGGTGATGACTTGCATCCTCAAAGGGAATTCTTCACGAAAGCCATCCGAGACTGCCGAGAGAAGAGAAGTGAAACTTGTTTTGCATGCTCTTGCACTGGAATTTTCCATTAGAGGATGCATCAGCTGCAAAGGAAGAAATTAGTCCTGTGCTGCTTGAAGGAAACTCTGGCCAGCTCTGCCGATACACTGAGCTTCCGTCAACTCGCTTATTATATGGCAGGAATTTGGTCACACGTTCATTTTGCTATTTTGTCAACGCAAGTTGTTAAGTCAATAACTGGTGGCCCTTCAGTCAGCCACAGCCCGCAAACCAGGGGACACTGAGGTTGGCTAACATTTCACACAGCCAGCTTCTGCAAACGTAACTGCACAGTAATTTCCACAGGGGAAGTACTTCAGAAATGTCACAGTCCCTCAGCTTCCATGACGTTGTTTTCAGATATCTGTTTTTATCTCCCAATCTAAACAGTTTTGGTAACCAAGCAAATTCTCAGAATGAATAAAAGTTGCTGATGCCTAATTTTCATCCAGTTACAGGTTACAGGGAAACTGGCTTGTAAGTAGGTTCAAGGTCTGCACAGATTCCTAAGAAAGAATGTTTATTAGCCTACGAAAGATGACATGGACTCCAAGAGTGAAACTGTCCCTTAATGTCTATTACCCACTATCTCTAGTAAATAATTAGCAGCTGATGGCGCCTTCAGGAAGGGTTTGTTGAGAAGACAGAAGCTTTCCCTTGATGTTCGTCTGCAGATGGAAGTAAATAAGTGGGCAGAGACTGAGCTGAGTGATCGGGGAGTTCCTTGGAAGGCCTACCTACCTGACAATGGTGACCTTTCAGGTCACACATCAATAAAGACTAGCGCTGATGGGCCACTTCCACGTAAATCAGTAACAAAGATGATCCCCAAGGCTTCAGGAAAAGTCTGGACTTACTTCCTCAGAAGAAAATACACCATTGTTCAAGAAAACCGAAAATGATCAATGGTCTGACTGACAGAGAATGTTCTAGCCAGACTTGCCTAAGTGTTATGGTGCTTTTGCAAGTCGGGGGAGGGGGGTGCGGAAATAAACACTTCGGAATCCTCCACCAGGTCCTCAGCTGTAGTTTACGCTGCCCATGACTGATTATTGATCACGCCTGACTGAAAAACCAGATCAACCCGCATGGCCAGGTCTCTGTAAGCTTCCAAACCAAACTGCCACCGCCTGTGAAGTGTGACGCTGCTGAATTTAATCACCAGGTTCCACTACACACCTGAACTGCAGTGTTTCCTAACGCAAGCATCCGCAAGGACAGCTAGGCAGATAGTCAGCATGTCACCCCTGAATTACACCCCCCAACCGCACCGCCAAAAGACACTAATCTGTTTGACTAGGTCTTGTTTTCAACAAGTGTTTGGTGCGTCAGCCTGGCATTTTGAAGATTATCTTGATGAGATATAAACTGCTCAGCAACCGTCCTCTGGTGCTGGACTTTGTGGCATTGTCACACTATCACTGCATCCTAACATCGTCTCACTTCAACTCAATCACCTGTCTATAGCAAAATCCCACCCCCCATCCCGTAAGGGACCCCTTTATCAATAATAAGTTCTACTTTCACAGGCCTACTCAGACAATGGGAGTGCAAGGTGAGTGGTGAAAAGTGCACAGAAGTGCACAGCTCCAACTCTGCTACAATCCCCTTATCCTAGCTACACAAGCAGCCACACAGAATGTAACATTTCAGGTCGGATCAGCCTGGGGGTGCTTAACATCGACAGGCCAGTACGCAGACCTTCCCAGCCTCCTAAAGACAGTGTATGGGTCTCACTTGAGGAATGCCAGAGAACCCACATTCCTTCTGGTGCTCAACAGACGCGCAAAACCTGCACTGACATACACCTCCATACACCCTCAGCACTGCCAACTCCGATTACCATCCATTTACATTTTTATAGACCATAAATCACCTGAGCCTATTCCAAAAAAGGACTATCGTAACATCAGAGGAGAAAGCTGATCAATCAAGATGAGTGAGACTTTAACCCAGAGTAAAATGCAACAACACTCCAGATTTATATAAAAAGAAGAAATATGTTAACCGGTCAAATCGGAGATGGAAAAGATCCTGACACGGGAGATATGTTCTACGATGGAGTGGTCGCTTTCATAAATCATAAACCCACAAGTCCTTCCTCAGAGTTGTGGATCAAAAACATTAGAATAATTTCAAAACCTTTGTGTTGTGCTGCAGAGGGGCCCCCACTGGCCCCCACTTTCATATTCTTGGACCCGTTCGGAACCCCAGAGCTAATATAACACATTCTTTGCGCATGAAAGAGGTGGAACCTCCTTCCCCGTGAAGATTTCACGAGCCCACAACAGCTGCCACATTCAGGAACTGCTCCACAGAGGTCAAAGGCTGAGAGGATCTGGTGGGGGGTTGGGGGGGCTATATGGGATGCAGAATGCCCGCGGTTCTGAAGCACCGCTTCATTTAATCCACTCAATGAGGGCGGAGAAAGTGAGGGCTGAAGACGGCCAATAGACCATCGCGATGCTGCCATGGCAAATGTGGCCTGGGGGATACGCCAGGACACGTTCTTTGGTCAGAGGCATGTAGAAGCATAGAAGCAGTGGGGTGGTGGGGAGGGAACCGGCCGCTTCGGGATGCCGCAGTGAATGCCCCCCCTTGTAATTCTGTCATCTGTTTGTTTTAGGGGAGAGTGTCTTTCTGGAAAAGGGCATTGCAGCCTCCCATCGCCACTACCACCCAAACAGCCACTACCCCCCCCCCCCAATGAAAGTTCTGCCACACGCCAGCCCAAAGCACGCGAATGTGGTTTCTTGTGAGCATCTTTTGGGGGGAGGACCTTACCCAAGAACACTGTGCAATCCAGAGGCCAGTAATGAAACACAAGCGCATTCATATCTGCAACATTCTGAGGGAAGGGCAATCCAAAGGTGGCTCCAGTGAAACCAGCAAAGATGCTGAGATAGTGTGGGAACCACGTGACACAAACACAAGTCTCTCTGCATCCCGGTCGGCTGCCTGCAAGTCTCACTCTCCCAAAAACAGTCATGCTGGTTCTACCACTGCTGGCTACAATCATAGAAACCCAGGCAAAACTCTGCACACATCAGCTTATGCGGGTGGCCAACCACAAGTTCTATCAGCCTGGGGATCCATTTCCAGAGCGTGCATGAGCGTCGGTGCAACTGTGAGGGGTCCTGCAGGGGGGTAAAGCCTGGGACGCGCCTTGGAACCGCGTAAAAAGCACGTGCTCCCGGCGTTCGAGCACCAGGCAGCCCAAAAACACAGACAGACGCGACCTGCGTAAACACAAGCATGCCGGTAACGTAACAGGGTCTGTTTGCTCCGCAAGTCTATCTCCGTCGGACTTATCAGGATGGTGCTTCGGGAGCCACAGGTGGAGCGTGGAACATTATTCGAGGTTCAGGAAAGATCAGAACCTGAATACATTCTTAGTTGTTCCTTACTACATGCAAATACTTGTGCAAATGGAAAATAAAGGACTTATCATTTATGTCATCACTGTCAAGTCTTAGCACACACTGGCTCAACAACAAAATCGTCAAGTAAGACAAGGAATCCTGACACACAGGTATAAAGTAAACTGTTAACTATTTATTGAAGGTTTAGTGCTTGTACTGAAACACCTAACAATCTTAAAACCAACCCTCTCGTAAATTTCAGCACACACCTAGGCAAGAGCCTCGAGATCATGCCTTCAGCGACTTCTAAAAAATCAGCATAATTTACTTTGCAAGTTTAATTAAGGACCATTTTTTTAAGAATCCAAATATTTGGCTTTTATGCCGTTCAACAGTTTTTGGAAGCGGGGCACGCGGCTTTATAGGTGCCTTGTAATATCAGTAAAACAAAACTGACATGCAGCAGATACAAAGCCAAGAATGCAAAACGTTTAACGACACGGGCACAGATGTAAGGAATGTTGTTGCAATGATATTGCTTAGCATTCAATGCATGGAAATTGAAAGCTAATCCCACAAACTGCAGTAAACGATATTACAGTTATTTAAGTGTTTACACTGAAATTATATCAGAAAATATATTGTTTCGTTTGTCCAAAAGGCCATTAGAGGACTTGATGTAAATTCCATACCTCCAAAATCCTGTCCAAGTCATCTTTCTTGAGACAAGGGTAGTCCTTGAGTATCTGCTCTCTTTGTGAGGTGTACTCTTTCACCGCAAGCTTCCAGTTCGGCTCCTCAAGAACCTGAAATATCGCTGCCCCAATGGACAGATAAAAAATTATTGCCGAAGTCAATAAAGGACCCTTGTCCACCGCCATCAAGCTCAAGTGGGGCTTATATGTCAAGTCCACTGAAAAAAGGATCAAGGACGCCGAGCCCCGCGCATTCTGGTGCAAATATATGCCAATCTGAAGCAGTGCACGCGTCTTAGAAAACTGACATAAATGTTAATGGAAGAGTGTCCATGAGAGTGGAGTAGGACATTAAAGACAGCGATTATTATTATAATAGTAATTGTAATTTTTAGTTTCTGTTCTGGTTGGGAACTGCCCGGCTTTTCCAGTGTCCCTCTCCACGTGCGCGCTTGTTGTAACAGAGAAAGTTGTGCCCCAGTCTGAAGTATCGCAGAAAGTTTGGGACGAAGTGGGGGTGGAGGAAAAGACAAAGGACCGCCCATGCAGGAGAGGAAGACACACAAGATTGGGTCTTTCAGCGGCGTGCAGGTAACTGCAAGGCTGTTTTCCCTCAGTTTACCGAGAGAAAGAAATCACAAGTTTAAACCTGTTTATTGGTTAGTCTCAGGGAACAAATCAAGTAACCTGTCCTTTTCCAATTAAAACGTAAAAATATTTTTTTAATTGCAAAATAATGTCATCGGAATCGCTCTTTTCTTTCTCTTCGGTGAATATTTGTTTCGACGAGAATAATTCATAGTAGTCTCTCATGTTACTAATGAATTTTATCCTTTTTAAATGTATTTAATTGGATTCCACACCGCAGCTGATGGCAGCTTACTGGAATCTTATCTTTTTAATAATAGTATTAATACGCTTACTCTTGGTACACTTTCTACCTGCCGGGGGCTGATAGTAATGAATTAACTAAGCGCGCATGTTTTTGTGCTGACTGAGAAAATTTATCACTGAAAAGGTCAAAAAACTTTTTGTAAATGCAGTTTCCGTATATTTAAGGAAAGTTTGTCCTCTTAAGTGATTCACAAACGTAAATTACATTATGGAAACAATACAACGAATAAAGGAGGACCGTGTTTTTAATAAGAAAGGTTTACGGGGTTAGACTGTTTATGTGTTTAATGATTTCCAGGATGAAACTGCATAATGCTTCAGCCGAGTTTGTGTTGCTGTCAGTTTCAGATGGATGATCAGTTAACCCCAATTAAGTTTATGCAGGACACGCATGCAAGCGTAATAATTAAATCACACATATATATATACACTTATATTACAGTCACCACCTTGTTTGTCTTTCCAATTTTATGGATACATAACATTTTATTTAGGTGCATTAACAAAAATTACTACAAGTTGATTTATTGACAGGACCGAGGGTAATTTCTGCGTCGTGATACAAATGCATCATCACGCGCGGGCTTTTCCTCTCGTTAAAAGTCCAGTTTCTGCTTACGGATTGAGATACATTTACTTAATTTTTTGTTTATCTAAAGAAATTTAATTAATCAACTATGTAAAAAATCACTGATCATCAAACCTATACCGAACAGTGCATGTTATGGACAAATAAAACAACCATGCATATGTAACATAATCAGTACCATTAGTAGTTTGAGCCATCCGTAGTAAACTTTAAATGATAAAGAGGAATAAAACTTCGATTTATGTCGATGTGTTTTCCAGTTACAGTATGAGGGTGTCAGGCCTGAATGGGTTTTTTAAACGATCGACGTGACAGATATCTGAACCCCGGTGAAAAGCCACTATTACATAAGGAACCATGAGCTGGTTTATATCACGAATTAATTCTAATGCTAATATTCGGGATGATCTTCCTTAGCGATCGCTTTCTGCAAGGCGTATTAATAAGTTCGGCAGCTGGATGTCATCCCGGCACAGGCCGAGCTTGATTCCGGACTCAACCTGCTAACAATCGCTGTCGATGTCCTTCCCCGCCCTAATAGCCGCTGACTTCGTTTACTGAAGTGATTACATTAAGAGCTTTGTTCAAGCTCACACTCCCTCTGGGGAATTTAATCAGTTACCCCCCGGTGCCAGGCGCCGCATTGCCTTGGCGATGGTCAGCAGAAACTGCACCTTCATCAGGCAGACTTTTCGCTCCGGTCGGAAGCTGGAAGACACTGGTGGCGTTTGATCCAGCTGACCGGTTTGGGACGTTACCCTAATGGTGCTGACCTTCCAGTATAGATACGTGGATCTGCTTGATATTGGGACACAAGCCACCTGCACGTCATTGCCATCCTCCGCATCTGCAATACTGAGACAGAGTAATGTTTACAGCTGCAGAGTAACGCATGTCGCTGCCTGCTCTGTTTACACAGGTGTCTGGCCGGTTTTTCACGGGGCCCCTGATTAGACGCGACCCCAGCGCAGCAGACAGGGCTCACATGGCAAAATGGAAGACACAGGCCAAACCCCCAGCCCTTGTTACCATGGCAAAAAGGCGGCACCAAGCGAGAGGAGACCCAGTAAGGAGGTTGAGACTGACGCTCTACAGAGCACCGCTAAGCATGTTTACACAGCAGCCTGGCGCAGTGGCAAGCCGGGACCTACGGGTGGCGCTAACCCCCTCTCAGCTGGCATTACGGGCCCTTAGCTGGGCCACACGTCCAGACGTTCCTGGGGTCCCCATCCGGCAGCCCGGATAGACCCGGAGCCTGGAAATAACAGGCGGGGAAGGGATCGTACGGAAGGTGTCTCTTGACCCCAAGAGGCGGGAACCACTGGCCTGTTTCCACGGTAACCTGTGGCGGGAACACAGGATAATAGGCATAAATCCGAACGAGCCAACGGGCCTAATGTCTGTTCCCCGCCCAACCCCCCAGGAACACAGAGCTGCCTCTCAGTCATATCGAGCTCCTTCATTCTTTGATGAACCTGTTTGTGAATCATCTCGCTGCTTAAATTATAGCTTCCACTGGCAGCGGTATCTTTGGATTCCACACCAGTGCTGATGTGTAATATCCTTCATTCAAAATAAAACGATAATAATGATCGTTACAGAAGACACCAGTGGCCTGTACTACGAAGCGGGGTTACTGGCTTATCGGGGTAACTTGTTGGATTTAAGGTACCACAGTTTAAATGGACTTCATATTCGTTCAATTACATTTTGCCCAGACTACCTTAAATCTGACACTTTACCCCGATAAGCCAGTAAGCCCGCTTCGTACTACAGGCCACAGGATTAGCATGCGGCACTGTTTGCCGGACTCTGCTGACACATGCGGCCGTTCCCAGAGCTGCTGAATACGGATCACACGGAGAATTTCACCCGTCTCTCAAGTGCGTAAAGTTCCAGCTTCTAATTGATGTTTATAAGCAGAGGTTCCTGATAGGGATCATGGGTATTCCATCTCTCCGGAAGTTTGTCTTAATTATACACAACATTTTTTAGCATCTCTTCAAATATTTGCGTTGAATAAAAGGCTCACCTTCTTTTTTCCGTGAGAAGGACTAGACATCATGCGTGATCCGGTTCATTTTGTTTTCTTCCTCTGAGCTGAAGGTTAACTGGGTCAGATGCTCATTTGCAGAAGCTGTGCCACCCGTCTGACGCAGGCCGCGGCTGTGAGGCTGGCATATCACAGCTGTGGTCAAGTAGAAGATTTAACATACGGCTGTTACACTCCACTCATTTACTGTAGGGTCAGATGACTGTAACAGCCAGAGCTGGTTTTAAGCATCGCAGAACGGTTTCTGATATCACATGTACATGGGTTAATATTATTATTATTATTTCCCATCAGCTGTTTCAGGTATTGAGAGGGATTTTTGTGAGGGAAAATTTGAAGAGTGACAGTGTAATTCTTACAGAGCTGGCCATTAATGACCCTCCCCCTGATCATAACACTGAGAGAAATACTGTGATCCTGAAAGTCCCAACTCCCCCCCCCCCCCCCCAGCCAGTGCTGTCGGGAGGCAGTGGTAGCCTGAGCTACATGTACGCCTCGCAGCACAGCACTGGATGTCACACGAACCCGGGTCCTGAGATGCCATGCCGGGGTACTGTCCCGACACTTTGGCGCGTTCCTCTGGCTTCAGGACCCCAACTTGTTGGGACCCGTTGGGTTTCTGGGGGGGTTCTACACCCCCAGAGTGGCCGCTGCGCAGGATCACGCTCAGTGATGGTGTTTCCTCTGCTGTAGATCACAAGGCAGCAAAGATAAAGTGCAGAGCGGTTAAATGCTGGCCAGCGGACGGACAGGTCAACACATAACGCAGCAAAGTGAGCGATGAAGACAGACATTTGATATGTCACTGAATACTTCATAGCTTTTATAATAACCTGCCCCCCCTCCCCCTTAACAGGGGGTCGAGGCCCCAGGGGAAGGCATATCATGATGGTAATTACCCCCATCTAGGAGGTCCTTTGATGGCCGGAAGATCAAGCACCCCCCCCTCCACCCCGCATACACATACACAAGGGCAGCCTGTCGACTTCGAGGTTGCGAATGATTTCCGAGGGTCGCTGGAGCATCTCGGATAAGAGGCCCGGAAACACGCTATCAGGTCACCGCCGCTGGAGTCGCACAGCAGACCCCCTGTGAGGGGGGCAGAGGGGTCTGGGGGCCCCGTGGGAATGCAGAGAGGCAGCCGGCGGATGAAAGAGAGCCGTGAAACGCAAGCTGTCGCTGGCCGCCCCAGGGGAGCCTGATTTACGCCAACGGGCTTGAGCACGGGCAGCTCTGTCAGCTTAAAGCCGCCTTTCCCAGCGCCGCACTTGCCAGGCGCAAATGTTCTGACATGCCTCAATTCTGTTTGCGGATAACTGGTAATTGTCGCTGCATGAAGTCCAAATCCATAGCCCACCTGGCGCTGAAACACACTCGGAGACGCAGACACACACACCCAGCCGGTCCCCAGCAGACTCTGTCACCTGCGCTGTGGCCCTGCTGTTGTCGAACCCCTGCTTTCTTTAGCAAACTGTGCCACATCTATCCTGGGGCGGACAGTGATGCTGAGGGCCACGCAGGCCATCCTGACACCTAACCGCTAGTTAATGTTTGGCTAGTTTATGCTTTCTGGGAAAATCAGCTGCTTGCGGTTTCAGGCTGGAATTCCCGTTCTAATAGACAACAAACAAAAAAGAAACATGGCTTATTTGCCGTTTGCAGAAGAACAGGTACATTGGAATGCTTCTCTTCACTGACCCCGTCTTGCTCTCCATAGCTGGGGGTCACAGTGCACGGTCAGCTAACATGCAGCGCCCCTGGAACCGGGGCGGGGGGGTGGGGGGGTTAAGGGCTGAGGCCAGGGTTAGAACTGGCAATCTTCGGATCGCAGGCCCAGAGCCTTAGGCCACTGAGCCACTCACTAGCAGGGTAGCCACCTGACCAGCCCCCCTTTCCTGTTTGGCAAACACAAACAAAGCTGCTGTGTCGCACAGCTTCAGATGGATAGCCAGC